TTTGTCTTTTTTTTCTTTAACTGAAATATTTCACTTGAGAGGATAGTAGTGATAATTATATGTAGTTTTAACAGTATTACCAGTGAAATAATTTTAGTGACTCTGATATAATTTCTTTTTAAATAGACCCTTACATTATTTCTTTTAAAAAATATTCTCTGTATCTTTTCAGTTGGAAGGCTATTTCGCAGGAAGTAGCACCAAGAGGCAGAGGAATATCATTAAAGTGTTAACTTCTTACTTGTTCTGATCTCATGCTTTTCACACCCCAACCTTGGTTCTTCCCATTATATGAGGTTAAGTTTTCCACTTTATCTAGACCCTGCCTGTTTGAATTTTTTATGTTCAAATTCTAAAATGACTTAATTCTTATAAAATATGTTTCAAAATGCATGCTGTTTATAAACAAATGTTGGGGTTGGTCATGTTTTTCAGAAATATAAGCAAAAACAATGGAAATACTTTATCTCATCCTCCTTCCTTTAAAAGAAAGAGTTTTGAAATGACTGATTTTGAAGATTTCTTCCCGATCTACACTTCAGTAATGTTCTCAAATAACACAGGCAACTCCCTTTTCCCCCTTCACTGGGATAAGGCTACTTAGAGACTGAAAAAAATCTCTCCTAAAACTTTCAAGGAAAGGACTTACTCCACCCACTTACGTGGATCATTTAGAGATTTTTCATTAGATGCCAAGGAAGGAGGGAAATGATGTAGTTAATTCTTGGAAACTTCTCCTCTGTAATTATGTATGAAGTTATTTTTACTGTGCATATTATATTATAGAGACAACTTGCTTTTATTTTGAACCATTCCAAGATACGGAACCTCAAAGTATTTCTCAAAGGAATAATAAATTCTCATTTGTTTCCTAAATCTATGGATTGTACTAAATTCAGAACTCCAGCACAGTTGCCCAGGATGAGAGCACTAACTTTTCTTCTATAAATAAAAAATGCTAGGCGACAAGATGAATTGGACTTATGGATAGCAGAATTTCGGAGTAGAAAATGTATATTCATGTGACTTGTAGAAAAAGCAGTAAAATGATATCAAAACATCAGGAAGTGAATGGAAAACCTGACCAAACTTGTTGGCTTCTTGAGGGAAAATAGATGAATGGACTCGCTCTCTATCTGGTTTTTTTGTTTTTTTCTTTCCCAACATTGTAAAACTAAGAAGAATGAAGTCAGCCTATTGGAGGTTTGATTTATTGTATCCTGGGAATCTACTTTGGTGAAATACATGTATTTACGTTTTTTATGTCTATTTGTAACTGGCCATTCAGGTCTTTTTTTGTAATCCTACTCTCATGGGTACATTTAGAAATAAAATAGAACACCAATTTTCATATGAAACTCTTGCTCTCTCTCACATCGCTACAGCCATGTGAATGGATAACAAGCTTTCTATAGATAGAATTAGACAATGTGGGCAAGGTTTTCCCTTGGATTTTTTGAGAATGTTTTTTGTGGCCTTTGAGGTTGCTGCAAACAAGTACAATCTAGCTATGAAGAAGGCACATTCTTAGCAATATAACTGTACTCACAGGAAACCAATTTAATTTTTAAGCATGAATTCTATTTTTAATAACAGGCTGTGGTCATCACTTTAATTTTGAGAGAATAAAACCAAGCAAGGAAAGCTGTAACTGAAGAAATCCCAAGAGTATTTTTTATGTTAGATACAATCTAAAGAAAATCAATGTCACGTTAAGTGGTGTTAAATCTTTTATGCTCCAGGAAAGCACTTTACTTGTCCATTTAATTAATAGCAAATTCAATAAAACAGCAAATCTCTGGAGAGTTGGTTACCACAAAAACTCAAAAATGAACATTCTGACCTGGTGTGGTTTAGTGTCCCTCTTGCTTTGAAGTGACAAATTTTAAGCACGATTTTATTACCAAATTTAATACCTTAGTATTATAAGTATTTTTATGTAAATCTAAATGGGTCCACATTTTAAAAAATTTTTTAACCTTTATTTATTTTTGAGAGACAGAGAGAGAGAAAGAGACAGTGTGAGCAGGAGACGGACAGAGAGAGAGGGAGACACAGAATCTGAAGCTGACTCTAGGCTCCAAACGTCAGCACAGAGACCAACGCGGGGCTCGAACTCATGAACTGCAAGGTCATGACCTTAACCAGAGTCAGACACTTAAAAATGACTGAGCAACTCAGGCACCCCAAAATGGGTCCGCATTTCAGGTGCAGTGCCTATCTTTGTGTGGCTCATGAGAAAATGGTTTTGAGCTATCCCAGCCAATCTCTGACCTTTGTTAGCATCAGCTGCTGCTATCAGAAATGGTGCCAATCGTTACTGCCTCACACCACCTGGTTAGCTGCATATAAAAATGTGTTAATGGTATAATATGATACAAGATGAAAATAGGTGAGTATGGAAATGATATTGGCATTGACTTACGATGTACTTAAACATTTTGTAGAGGAAATTTTGGGGAAAAAAATAAGATACATATTTTGAAGTTTTTGTTGGACTCAACTTCTTTTTTTCTTTGAAGTCAGCCACAGCACAGTACCTAGGACTGACTACGTTAGGATGTTTCCTATAAATGCAGCAGATAGCTAATTTTTACTTTGTAAGAAATGGAAATGAGTATCAAATATTCTCACCAGATTTTCTGTCACATTTTTTTTGCAACACCAGTAGTAGTAGAAGGGATCTGGAAGGAACAGTTATTACATCTTCCCTTTTCAGGGAAGAATTTTCATGCAGAAAACTTATAAGAAGAACTTCGTACTACTTAAGTAAAACATTTTTAGGCCTTCAGAGGCTTGTCATTTATATGAACTTTCCAATACTTTGTGTCTGCCATTTTGGATTCCTTTTATATGGCAATAGCAACCTCTAGAGGCAATCAGGATGAACTGAAATTTTTGTCAAGAGGTGGCCTGATTTGATTATAACAGACATAAGTTTTAGAAAGGAACAAGACTACCAAGCATGAAGGCAATTAAAAAAGGAACCAGATTCACTCAATTGAGAAGACTGCTAAAACATTTATCTGAACCAGAATGTCAACCTTTCATGACCTAGCTTAGGACTTTTCTTCACTTTGAAGTTTTTGGACCCCACTCTTTCAGTCCGAGTTATTGGCTCCCATATTTAATGCATCAAAAACCACTTTGGACATTTGTTAGTGATATGAACTGTGAGCTGCTTAAAGTCAAGGTTCACATCATGAAGATTTGTATCTGAGCCTCTAGCCTGCCCCCCAGCCTGCACCACATACAGTTTATAATATATAATGCATATGAAATAACTCTCTAGAATGAATGAATCATTGAATGGAGAGGAGAGAAAATTAAACCACAATGCCATTGGTGTCCTGGTGGAATATTTCTCAAATTTGGGCACCCACGTAGCCACTTTGTATTCATTCCTAATATCTTACTAGATAACTTCTGTTTCACTAAATCGACCTCTTTGAGACCTTGAACTAGACCTATAGTTCAATTTTGGCCTATCTCCAGCATCTTCTTTTTTGATGCATTCTTTTAGGCTCATGGCATTCTGAAACCATTTTATTTCACCCATTTGTCCTTAGTGATAATCACCAGTTATTGTTAGATTAGTATTTGCTTGGTATATTAGTTTTTATTGCTACCATAACAAATTACCACAGATGCTAAGTGCCTAAAACAACACAAATTTATTATCCTATATTTTTACAGGTCCAAGTCCATTAAGGTCTCACTAGACTATCATGAAGGTGCCAGCAGGACTATGTTCCTTTATGTAGTTTCTAGGGGATAATTGTTTCCTTGCTCATTTAGGTATTGACGATTCAGTTCCATGCTGTTATGGGGCCGAGGACAATGCCATGATTTAAATCAAAGTCTACTTAATTCTAAAGCTACCTTGCTCTTAATTCTTATACCAGGCTATGCTGTGTGTATCCTACCATATATGTGTAACACACACACACACACACACACACACACACACTCACTCACATTATGAACTATTATTTGAAAAACCATGTTGGACTAAGGAAAACATATCGTTTGCACCATTTCTCCTGGTGATCTTTACACAAATGAGTTTTGTGTATTAGTGAGTACACTAATGGGGAGTTTGGCAAGTTCTATTAATGGAAAAGCTGCAAGCACAGAAAATATTTATCAGTAAATTTATTTGTTTTACTTTTCCAAGATTCAATTCCAAAAGATAATCATTTCACAGGTCATCTGTGAAGCTATATCTTGAATGGAGGCTCCTAATGAATATGAAGCAGTCTGCTACTTTAATTTAGAAAATGTTAATTCTAAAATATTACTTCACAAAGTAGTATGCTTATATTTTCATGTGCTTATCACTCTGATATAGTTTTTGAGTGAATTATTTTTAGCATTGTAATGTAAACAGGATAATATGTGCTCACTTTTGGCATCCATACTGATCATCATAACATCCATAAACAACTTCTAATTCCTATAAATATGCATATCTTTGCTTTAGCCCATTATTTTTGCATCTCACTTGTTTATTTATTCTCCTTTATTATTTTTTTAATAATAAGTCTTTTTTAAATGTTTATTTATTCTTGAGAGAGTCACAGCATGAGTGGGGGAGGGGCAGAAGCAGAATCTGAAGCAGGCTCCAGGCTCTGAGCTGTCAGCACAGAGCCCAATGTAGGTCTCAAAACCACGAACTGTGAGATCATGAACTGAGCTGAAGTCGGACTCTTAACCAACTGAGTCTCCTAGATGCCCCTGTTTATCCTTGTTTAAAATGCATTAGCTGATAATAGGCTCAGAGCTTATATTAATTATGCTACTTTAGCCTTAAGTTCTCTCTATGGTTCTTGCCTTATAGTTGTCTCGGTGCACAAGAGAACGCTGTGCTATGTGAATGTTTACTCAGTCAACCCACCAATTCATGTCAGATTTGAGCTTTGTTTCCTTATCTTGCATTCTCAAAGTCTGTTGCCATTGTGGAAGCATCATTCATTCATCTCATTTCCTTTTTATTACAGAATCTTGATGCTCTGCATGACCACCTGGCTACTATCTACCCAGGAATGCGTGCACCTTCCTTTAGGTGCACCGATGCAGAAAAAGGCAAAGGACTCATTCTGCACTACTACTCAGAGAGAGAAGGACTTCAGGATATCGTCATCGGAATCATCAAAACAGTAGCTCAACAAATACATGGCACTGAAATAGACATGAAGGTAATGGTCAGTAATGGAGGCTCTTCTGAACACACCTGACATACAGAATATTAAACATGTCCCTCTGTGAATTTACCTTTAGTTGTCACCGCTAGTGGACCTCACCAGAGATAGATACATGAGCCATAACAGTGCTATACCAGCAATATTCTATATTTGGCCTTGGAAGTCATTATACAGGATATTTTTTCCTTATGGCAGCAGAAATCTCTTTCCAGTTATACATTGCTTAAGGCAACGTGAAGCCTACTTTGCATTTCCTGTGAACGCGCACCAGCTGGGTAGCAGAAGGAGTAGTGACTGGTGAAGCTGTAGCCTTAGAATACAGAAAACCCAGAATGTGCATGGCCAAATTCTAAGATAACATATAAGATTAGATATTGGTTTACTGATCATTGTTTCTTTGTAGATTTTTCTTTGTTCGTGAAATAATAGTTGGAAGCTTTCATTTTGTGATCTAAAAGTTTTGCTTTTTTTTTTTTTTTTTAATTAGATTACTTGGTGAAAGAAGTCAGGTCTTTAAAAATTTGTTACTATTGGTAAAACATGCTCTAAGCTTTGAGTGATGATATCAGGGAACTGCTGCAACATCTGTGTAATAAACATTGTTTTTCTCTCTCTTTGACCCTACAGTCTGTCCCAGTCACCTGCTCCTTGTGTTTCCAGCACGTTCAGCCTTAGGAGCCCTTTTTCAGTTGCTCGAAATTCGAGAAAATTAGGGAGAGGGATATCCTACTTCAATTTTTTTTCTTTAGGACCATTTCTTAGATGTCAGAGTTATGTTTTAGCACATATGAGAAGTCCAAACTTTAAATACAATATTATACAAAATAACAATTGTAACATTTAACTTGATTATATTGGAAAAGTGTCCCATATATTTAATCTAGTAATGTCATGTTAGATTCTGTGGTTTTCCTTCTTTTAAGAGTTGGTGTCAATTCTTAATGTGACACTTGTGGGTGAGTCTCAGGTGCGTCCTTAGTTTTTCGACTACTAGAAAGTAAGACTCCGTGTAACGTGACATTATCAAAACCAGAGACATTTAAAACTTAAAACCTTGGGTGAAGAATCAAGATTTGTCTGTAACTAGGAATCTCACTATGCCTTTCATTTCTAAGTTTTGATCCTGACACCAAACCACCTCATTTATGTTCAATGAGCCTTTATCAGGGTCTTTTAGCATACTGTGTCGAGTCTTGTTTTTTTGTTTTGTTTTGTTTTGTTTGTTTTTCACTTAGGCAGGTTGAGCAAGAGACAAGAACATAGAAACTTTAAGAAAAAACACAAATTAGGGCACACTTGGATATTGCAGTTGTATGGTTATTAGTGGATTTGGCATGGAAGGCTGGCAGCCATTAGCACACTTTATATAAAATTCAAGATTTTACTTAATTATGGTTTACTTTATACAATATTTTGTTGCCTTGTCACCTTCATTTATTTAAGTACTCCAACACAGACTTCTGGAATATTTTCATTTTGAGTTATATTTTGTCTATTTAATTTTTGTCAAAGACACTTTTAATTTCCTGAGGTATTCTACGTAAGCTTAACGAGTCCAGGGCTACCAGAATATTTAACTACTTAAAGAATATTATAGCATGTCAAGAAGTGATATACCAATAAGAGCTTGAAAATATGATCAGAAAAGCAGTTCATTTAGGGGCACCTGGGTGGCTCAGATGATTAAGTATCTTACTTTGGCCCAGGTCATGATTTCACAGTTTATGAGTCAAGTCCCATGTTGGGCTCTGTGCTGACAGCTCAGAGCCTGGATCCTGCTTCAGATTCTGTGGCTCTATCTCTCTCTGCTCCTCCACTGCTCATACTCTGTCTCTGTCTCTGTCTCTCTGTCTCTCTTTCTGTCTGTCTTTCTCAAAAATAAATAAACATTATACAAACTTTTTTGAAGAAAGCAGTTCATTTTGACAATTTAATCAAAGCAAAGGAACAAAATTGAGGAATTAATTAGTAAATTTAGGCCGCATATGATTCAGTTCCTGTAGCTAAAATGGAATCAGAGCAGTCCACAAAACTGGGCTTGAATTTTAAGATTGAGTCTTATTACGGTTTGTGGGGTGTTCACTGTACAATTGTACCTGGCTTAGTGGGCTGAGCCTACCAGGACAAGGGGGTATTTTTCTCCTAATTCTATCAAAGAGGCCATCTGGGCTGCTAAAGGATTGATACCAGATTTGCAATTTTATTGTAAGTAATTATTCAGTCTTCAAACTGCATAAGTCAATGTTCAGAAATAGTTTCCTATTTAAGATATGTATAGCATTTGCATATATTCATATTTTTAAACTAACTCCTTAAATGCAATTCTCATGATCACTTTCTTAGGCATTTAGGATTTTAAGTAAACTGAAATGCAGACAATTAACATCATCTCCCTGTTTGAAAAATCCAGGTTATTCAGCAAAGAAATGAAGAATGTGATCATACTCAATTTTTAATTGAAGAAAAAGAGTCAAAAGAAGAAGATTTTTATGAAGATCTTGATAGATTTGAAGAAAACGGTACCCAGGAATCACGCATCAGCCCATATACCTTCTGCAAAGCTTTTCCTTTCCACATAATATTCGACCGGGACCTGGTGGTTACTCAGTGTGGCAATGCCATTTACAGAGTGCTTCCCCAGGTAAAATGACATCACACTTCCTCGAGGCCTGAGACAAAGGCTCTAAAGTTGCAGTTGTTATATGTGGTCACTGACTCACTTAACACATTGACTATGTATCGTGCAATGTGCAGCGTATCAGATACCACATAAGTTTTTTAAACTAAGCTCAGTGTATTTGAGCATACTGCAACTTTCCCCAGAACAACTATTTACTATTTTTCTGTCTTAATCTCTCACAGGGACAGTGGGGAAATTACATTGGAATGCTATTTTTTTAATGAGAAAATGGGCAACTTTCTAGTAGTAAGCAACTCCCCTACCAAATGATTATGATTTTCTACTTTTAAGTCTGGCGTAATCTAATCTCAAATTGTTAAGACTTATTTCTACTAATCACATGATCATTTCTTTTCATCCACGTTGTAGCTCCAGCCTGGGAACTGCAGTCTGTTGTCTGTCTTCTCTCTGGTTCGTCCTCATATTGACATTAGTTTCCATGGGATCCTTTCGCACATCAATACAGTTTTTGTATTGAGAAGCAAGGTAATCAAGATATTATTTCTTTCAATGTGGGTGAGTAAGGGATGCTATATCATAAGAAGTGTCCCTGAGGGAAAGTTACCTACTATACCATTCTGTTATATGGAGAAGGTATAGAGAGATCCAGACCAAACCTCAGAGGGAGTCATATTTGAAAGGCAATGTTATTGATATTTGGTTTGCCTGCAAGGCACTGGGACTCTTATCAACTGATCAGAATTAACAAAAGTTTTGAGACTGTATTGTTGGGACAATTCAATATCACATAATAAAACAAACATCTTTTCCTCTCTAAACGGCTACCATGTGCTATTTTAGACATCAGAAGAACTGATTAAAAAATTATGTTTTAACTTCACTGAAAGCCACTGATTTAATTCTTTTTTAAATTGTCTATTATTCTTGGTGCCATTTGGGTGGAAATTTATAAGTGATAAAATATTCATTCAGCTGATTATTTAGGGAGTACCCAGATCTCATAGTTTCTGTTCTTGGGAATGATACAGCAGAAGTGTTCTAGAGTGTACATTGTGTCCTTCCTGAAGCCCTTGCTGCAAAGGTCTTACCCACACATAATATATGTATTTGGAAATACTCCCAGCCACTCTTTGAATGCAGTTATGGGAAATGGAGACACCTGGTTTCTTCTTTGATAGAACTTAGTATTGTCTGTTGGAGCCATATGGGAAAATCAGAAATAAGATTCACAGAAGCTTTAAAACAATATGCAAGCAGTAGTAAGCCTATTATCTTTCTGGGTCCAAAGGAGATAGTCAGTTTGCTCTTCTGCAGTGTTTGTAAGGTAACCACTTTGCTTACTACCTGGCAACATTTCTGTGAAATGCCCTTCCTGATCTACTTGGTACACTTATTCCCCTGGATACTTTGGTGGGAGTTGAAGTATACGTGTCTTTCTTTTTGCTAACTTGTTGGGTAGGAAGAAAGGTACTAGTCAATGGCTGTGTCTTGCTTTTTCAAGGAAGGACTGTTGGATGTAGAGAAATTAGAATGTGAGGACGAGCTGACCGGGACTGAGAGCAGCTGCTTACGTCTCAAGGGACAGATGATCTACTTACCTGAAGCTGATAGCATCCTTTTTCTGTGTTCGCCAAGGTAATCATTTTTATATCAATCATCTTGGATAGAAGTACCCATTTTTAGCTAACAGAGAAATTCAGTAACATCTTATTTAATCATGTCTACATGTTTCAAGTGTAATTCGATTTTACCACTCCTGTTTATACACCTCTCTGTTACAAGGATAATTTCATTTAACATTTGTAACAAGCTCAGAAGAAACCCTGTATTCTTTTTATTTTATTGGTCCTATCTTAATCAATGCACCAACTGTGTATGCCATCAGATCATGGAAAAATCTAATCTGCAGGTAGCTAACGGCATAGCTTTATACGGTCCAAAAAGGCATCACATAGAAAAGAAATTCTATAGAGCATCTAATATGATGGAGTAAATACAATGGGTATGTTTGGCACTGAGAAATTACATTTTACAATTATTTCTGGATTTAAAATATAACTACCCTATATTGAAAATATTTAGCTACTCTAATCAGGATACACTATTCAAAATATCTGATTACATTGAAATTTATATCAATTATGTTTTTTATGGTGAACATCAGAGGGAAGTAAAACTGTCAGATGATATTTTTCCAATCTGACAAAACATTTTACCAAAAGATGCATGAGAGCTCAGAATAAGAAAAAAATACCTAAATTTACTTAGAAAAATAGAAAAAGGTAACTGGAACTTGCTAGGTGGTGTTTTGTGTATTTATAACTTTGTATGACTGAAATCTATGCTCATTATTTAACAACACATTCAATAAAGCATATTTTGCTGAGCTACTGGCTAAAAATTTAATTTAAAGTCCACCGTGATCACTTTTCATTTAAAAATACTGCCTTAAAGTTTCTGAAAAATCTAATGAACTTGTAACTTCCTTTAATATTATTAATACACTGTTAAAGACTACATAAGACTAATGATTATTTTCTTTCCCGAAAATATGCATCATGAAAGTAAAAGAGACAAACCTAAAGAATATAAACCTTTTATATCTTTTTATTAGTCACTTTCATTGACCTAACTATATCTGCTATCAATACGTAGTTATTTTTTTCTTTTGCCTCTTTTCAAGTTGAGCTTTAGTAGAATGACAGCTTTTCAATAGGGGCAATTTCTATTCATAGAGATAAAAGTCTCTTTGGAAACAGAAGCAGAGAATTTGGAGTCTATTTCTTAATTACCATATGAAGAAATTGGTCACATATTGACACATTCACAGTTTGTCACATGGTACTTGTCTGTGTGTTTAGAAAAATTTGTATCTGCATTAAATGAGATCAACTAAAAGCAATTTCACTTAAAAATTAAATAATTCTAAAATGATTAGTTTAAATTTAGAAAAAAATGTTAGTAGTTCATTAAAATAATAATTTTTAGAAAAGTGAGATATTGGGGTATTTTGGTGGCTCAGTCAGTTAAGCATCTGATTCTTGATTTCAGCTCAGGTCATGATCCCAGGGTCATGGGAATGAGCCCTGTGTGGGGCCCTGCACTGAGCATGGAGCCTGCTTAAGATTCCTTGTCTCCCTCTGTCCCTCCCCCACTCCCTCTTATGCACACAGGCACTCTTTCACACATACAAAAAAGTGAGATATAATTCGATTGTTTCTAAACTCCATATGAGAATTTTTAGCCATTTTCTTTTTAAGCTTATAAATTTTTTTTTCTCTGCTCCTGGGCAGGTCTTGTATACCATTTAGCAGGTGATCTGGCCTCTTTTCAGATGAGTCTGTTCTGCCATTGAGCCGAGTTGTTCTGCAAGGTTAACATACATAGGGGTCTTAACAAATCTAAAGAGACCATATGGTTCATTAGTAAACTCTTTCATCATTTTCTTTTTCTATATTGACATGCTCATGTTGGCTTTGATGTGAGGACATTTCTACTGAGAATGTATACCAAGGAGACATTTTATCAATCCAAAATTCTTCAGTAAAGTCACAACTCCTTATGACTTATGTCATTTTAGAGAAATTCTTATTGTGAAGGCCCAGACATTATTACTTTATATTTAAAGAGTTCAAATCAATAACATAACCTTAAGACATTTTAAACAAAAAATAAATTTTTGAAAAGTAGTCAATTACCAGATCATCACTGAATCAATGTACATTATTATGCTATTCTTTTTTTAATGTTTATTTATTGTTGAGAGAGAGGGAGGGAGATAGAAGAGGGGGAGAGAGAGAGGGAGACACAGAATTTGAAGGAGGCTCCAGACTCTGAGCTGTCACGGGGCTTGAACCCATGAACCATGAGATCATGACCTGAGCTGAAGTCAGATGCTCAACTGTCTGAGCCATCCAGATGCCCCTATTATTGCTAATCTAAAAATAACTTTGATAAAAAAAAAATAACATAGGTTACAAGTATGCATAAACTTTAGTAGGATTATATAATGTTTCAAAAATGAGAAAAATATTAAAAGCAAACAAAAGTAGTAAAGAAATTAGAATCAGAAGTAAGAGTAGCACATAAAAGACATGTCAGAAAGTTATAGATACATAAAATACGTGTGGATGATAGGCCATAAATCTGATTGTAAACTTTTAATCATTGCATCTACAAGGGAAAAGCAACCAGTTACGAGAATCAAAGGATCCATAAGACAACAATGAACTGGTTTCTCAAAAGAAGCACTGTTTTAGAGGGCAAAAAGAAATTTTTTCTCATCTCTTTATAATGAGGAGAAAATGTGATAGTAGTGAATAACAGCCTTGTGTTAAATGCCAGATCAATTTTCACAGGATAGTTTTCTACTTTATCTTTCAGTTCAGGCTGATGGAATCAAAAAGTGAGATGTGGCAAAAATGTATGTCAAGGTCACTGCTCTTTGATAGATTTTTATTTTAAATATTTTTTAATGTTTTATTTATTTCTGAGAGGGAGAGAGAGAGGCAGAGTGAGCAGGGGAGGGTCAGAGAGAGAGAGACACACACACAGAGTCCAAAGCAGACTCCAGGCTCTGAGCTAGCTGTCAGCACAGAGCCCCACGCGGGGCTCGAACCCACGAACCATGAGATCATGACCTGAGCCGAAGTCGGATGCTCAACGGACTGAGCCACCCAGGCGCCCTGATAGATTTTTAAATATATGAAAGGATGAAGTTATATTCTTCATGCAACTCTCCAATGTTTTTTGTCTTTAGGTTAACATTTTTAGTGGTAGGAGATGACAGGATTCCACTCCTTGACAGTAGTCAGGCTTGGTATTAGTGTGTAGACAAGTTGGGACTGACTTTTCCTCATTTCCCTATCTGACAGCGTGATGAACCTGGACGATCTGACAAGGAGAGGTCTGTATCTGAGTGACATCCCTCTGCATGATGCCACGCGCGATCTCGTTCTTTTGGGAGAACAATTCAGAGAGGAATACAAACTGACCCAAGAACTGGAGATCCTCACAGATAGGCTGCAGCTCACCTTAAGAGCCTTGGAAGATGAAAAGAAAAAGACGGACACGTAAGAATGTAACCTTGTGGGTAAAGAATGGCATCGTATGTTGCGAGCCTGTGACAGTTAATGTTTGGTAACCAAACTAGAAAGGCATGGAACCTGTTGTAGCTCTGATGTAGTAAATAAGAATCTTCCACATTGCTCAGAAAGAAACTATGCATACAGAAATAAATCAGTCCCATCGCTTCTTGGCGTTTTGGCTAAGATCAAGTGTAGAAATAAATCAGTCTTAATGGTAGTGGAAATAGGTCTTCTAGGTTTACAAACCAAGTTGAAAGAATAAATGCCATAATATCTCCCTGAAAATCAATACAAAAATCCAACTGTGTATTTAAAAGTGAACTATCCATTCCTTCCTTCCTATGAGAGATATGCACTAAGGATCTTCTGTGTGCCAGGTACTGGCTGGGTTCTCAGGGTTACAGTGAATACTGTACTTGGAATTGACCTTCATTTTCAAATAATTCATTCAGATATGCCCTGTGCACACTACTTGGCCTTGCTTGTGTATATTTATTCATTAAAGGCACTAAATCACTGGACATACATAAGAGATTTTACCCAGTCTCTTGGGTGTTCATTTTTAATGCTATATTATTGCAACTATCTTGTTGCACAATTGAGCTGACCTGTCTTATTTCTCATAAGAACTATTTCATTCTACTTGAACACCCAGAATATTGATAACAGCATCACTTTCTGTACTTTTCTTTGCATTGCTATGTGTGTAGTGCTGGGCCCCCACATAAACACATCAGTTAACTATTTAGTAATAACATGGATGAAATAGAGAATGACATTTAATGTCTGTCTATCTTTAGCTTCTTAATTCACTTGTCTTGACCTCCGTATAAAGAAGCTGAAAGCTATATTTAGTTTCTTTCAGACTTCTTTACTTTCCTTGTGCCCCTAAAAAGATCCCTTAATTTATTCAGGTATTTTTCAGATTTCAGAAAGTATGTGAGACAGGCGGCTCAAATTCCTCTCACTGCTCAAAAAGACGATTCAAGCTGTATGTTTTATTGGTATGTGGTACAACTTCATCCCTGAAAATAACACATTGTATGAAGCTTGTAAGATTAAACTTAGCACAGAGCGTCCTCTGGCTATAGGGAAGGAAAAAGCAGAGAGGCATCAGTTCTTCCTCTGAGTCCTTATGCCAAGAGCCATCAGCTGCTCTAGTTTCTGCTTCTCTCCTATGAGTCCCTTGGCTCTCAATCCCCACCCCTTGTGCTTAACCACATTTGTCCCTCTGCATGGTCCTCGATGCCATTGAGCAATCACAGGATTGCCTATAGAAATACAATTTTTTCTTGCCGAGCCCAGTCTCCACGTGTTTTATCCGTTTCTTCCGCAGAAGAGTAAGGCATGAATGAGACTGGGAGGAGATCTACTTGGTTTAACAGTATTTATACAAATTGAGGTACATTTCTTATTCCTAAGAGATAAACATGGTCCTCGTATTATGCTACTCAGACAGTGTTCTAAGTGCTAGTAATGACAACTGTGAATACAGTAACAACAGGTCAGAATTCAGTGCCACAGATGAAAACTCTGACCTCCTATTGACAGTCTTCTCCTTTGCCTATTTGTTTGTTTGGCTTATTTCCATTTGGTTTGAATTGGTTTGGATTTGGAGGTGTTGCATGTGATTAAAACAAATAAATTATGGTACTTTCAATCACTTACATATATGGCCAGTAACGGGTGTCTCCTAAGACTCCAGGTGTTTATGGTACAAATGACACCAAAGCTCTTTGATTCCCAACCTTTCTTCCTGTGGCTTTTTCCGCATCCCGCTGAACAGGCTGTTGTATTCTGTCCTCCCTCCATCCGTTGCCAATGAGCTGAGACACAAGCGCCCGGTGCCTGCCAAGAGATACGACAACGTGACCATCCTCTTCAGTGGCATTGTGGGCTTCAATGCCTTCTGCAGCAAGCATGCATCCGGAGAAGGGGCCATGAAGATTGTAAACCTCCTCAATGACCTCTACACCAGATTTGACACATTGACCGACTCCCGGAAAAATCCCTTTGTTTATAAGGCAAGTCCAGACCACATCCTAATGCAGTGCCCTTCAGAGTCTGAATTTTGAGACCCTATGTTCCGAGGCACTACCTTTCTCTGACTGTAGCCCTATGGCCTTGGTAGAGTAAGCCTCCACATATCCACTGTTTACTGTTTTATTAAATGATTTACCTCTTGTTGTAAACCTTTCTCCTCCCTGTAACCAAAATGAATAGAGCTGATGGTTCCCTAGTTCGAATGAAATGTTCCGCAGCGTATCTGCACATACATTAACGAGTCTGCACAGGTTGTTTCTCACCCATCACGTAAACACAGCATTCATTTGAGTGCTCTGTCGGAGACATTTTTAGAGAAATACTAAATGCTTTGCATAGTAAAGTGGTCTTAGAGCATGAGAAGGGGACTGGGGACTCGGATTTGCTTTTAGGTTGCACCAACCTGAAGGTAAACATTTATAAGGCATTTCTGCTCTTTGTCTCAATTAAAAACAAATATAATATTGGAAAAAGTGAAGTCAGGGAAATACTGCTTCACAAAAGCAAGAATGTTAACCAAACCATCTCCAGGCATCTGGAGTAATAGGAATGCCACAGGGACTGTTTATTTTATAGTGGTTTTCTGCAGTACCATGCAACACTTTGTGAGCACATCATAAATATAAATGGTTATTGAACACGATAAACCATTGGACGTTGGGCAGTGGCTCTTGTATCATAAATCAGCATTATTTTAGGGAGATATTGGTAAGAAAGTGTTCTATTGAATGATAAAGGTATCTGAGCTGAGAAGCCAGGAATCACTAGGGAGAAAATAATGCTATGTCCATACCTGACTGTAATCAAAGACCTCAAGTGCGATGTGTACATTTCAAATTACAAGGTTTCATCTTGTTGGAATTGAATGTATTCGAATTTTAAAAGAATTCAGGGGAAGAAAGTTTAAAGTTACTGGTAGCCTTGAGAAAATGGTGTTTGTATATAAGGTAGCAAATGAAACAGTAATGTTTATTCTAACCAATGAACATGTAAATATCTGTGCTGTGTTAGGTGGAGACTGTTGGTGATAAGTATATGACAGTGAGTGGCTTACCAGAGCCGTGCATCCACCACGCACGATCCATTTGCCACCTGGCCTTGGACATGATGGAAATCGCTGGCCAGGTTCAAGTAGATGGCGAATCTGTTCAGGTTAGTAAACAAAATAGATACTATAATAGTAGTAGCAGACCTTTGTGGCAGCTGACTCACATTCTTTACCAGGCAGTCATCATGTATAAGGGAAGACATCTTGATAACAGTGACTATAATTTTTTTGAACGTATTGCATGACATTTTTTCATAGAGATGGGAAATCTGCCCACCTGTTTGAAAATACCTAGTCTGTTCCATGTACTGAAAGCATCAGGAGGAGATCAAACTTCCTGTCCTTTCTGATTTACTTTTTAAAATCTCTTTCCTGTGTCTCGTGTAAGTTGCCAGATTCATATCTTTGAAATTTTCACACTTTAGAAAAAGAATATTCTTCTTCTCCTGGAAGACAGACTTTGTGAGGTTTTTTATTTTGTCTGGAATACACTTGGAGTTCTTCTAGAGGATTCTTATGATTTCTTTATGATGACTCTACCTTAGTCCATAATATAAAGTAATCAGGAAGTAGTGTTTTGGTGATCAAACTTATTGAAATGCAGCTTTGATTTCTGCAGATAACAATAGGGATCCACACTGGAGAAGTTGTTACCGGTGTCATTGGGCAGAGGATGCCTCGATATTGTCTTTTTGGAAATACTGTTAACCTCACAAGCAGAACAGAAACCACTGGAGAAAAGGGAAAAATAAATGTGTCTGAATATACATACAGGTAAGAGAACAGGCCTTGGTATTTGCTGATCTGCAAGAAAAATGTCTCTTCGCGTGTGGTTTAACTCTCTGCAGGATTTTATTACTTTGAAAGAGTCATCACTTATGCTCTTAGGATTGTTTATGTTTTATTTGAGAAGAACAGATCATCACTTACACCTTTAATGAATTCACACGACCTTAGGAATTCCCTGTATAATCACCATTGCTAAAATCTTGCGTTCCCTTTAAATGAAGCTTTAACATGTGTCATTACTGTCTCGATTTCGAACTTCAGTTCACATCACTTTCTCCATACAACCGTCCTCAATACGTCTTTCCCTACCCCCTGCCCTGTCCCCTACCTTTTAGATGTCTTATGACGCCAGAAAACTCAGATCCACAATTCCACTTGGAGCACAGAGGCCCAGTGTCCATGAAGGGTAAAAAAGAGCCAATGCAAGTTTGGTTTCTATCCAGAAAAAATACAGGAACAGAGGTATGACTAATCAGCCTGTAGTACCATTTTTTAAAGACAGAATATAAATACAGGGAACAAAATCATAATCACTGACAATGGGTCTCATTTGAAAAGAATTCTTGCTTGCTTGCAGAAATGAAGTGTCAGGTAAAGCAGCGGAAGTACTGAAACATTAATGAGCCAGTTCAAACAATACAAACTTCTTAGGGGATACTTTATTGTGGCTGGCTTTTGCCCGCTGATGAAATTAAAATCAAAAGCACCAGACGGGGAAGACCTGTTTTTGGTTCTTCGTCCATAATCTGGCTGAGGTGAGAGGGCAATGAAGGACTCCCTGGCCTCTTTCCTTGGCTCCTTAAGGGTTTCTGAATTCACCATCTGGGCAGAGTCAGGTCTGCGAGTTATGGGAAGTTTCTTAATCACAAAGCTTCAGATCCTTCTAAGGGCCAAGCTATGTCCCTGTGGAGACATCTTAGGCCCCCGTGCATTTTTCCTAGAAAGGAGAGCGATTTATAATTTTCCAGAACCTAAATGAGCGCACAGGGGAACCTCGGATTCGTGCTAGTGCTGTGGTTCTACTCCAGCTGGACTACCACATGCTAGAGTTGGCTTTAGACAATGGCCCTGCCAATTGGAATCCTGATTCACTCTGGGCTTGTACACACCAAAGCCATGCCCACCTTGTTCCCACACACGGGGTGCAATATCAGAAGCAAGTTTGATACTTTGTTCCCCTGTGGATGTAGTGGTTCCTTAGAGAGAGTGAAATGACTTGATTATATTTCTTATTCCGTATGTATACATCCCCTAAAAAGGCTGGTAGAGCCTAAGTCCTCAAAGAAATGGAATGCCAAGTTTTAAAATATTTATCTTTATCTTCTTTCTGCTGTTTTTACTTCAAATAATTTACTTGTGGTTTTGGCATGCTTACTGATGCTCTTCTGATAAATGAAGCCCTACCTCAAGTGCTGCTCATTTTAGGTGGGTGGCCCTTGTTTCACACCGAATTATGGTGGGAAGACTTAGAAAAACAGATATGCATGCAGCTCTTAAAAAAAAAGAAAGAAAATATTTGGGGGCTACTACAAGCTTTATTATCACTGAAAATGAATCCCTATTTATTCATCTTTAAAGGAGCCAGCACCGGATGATAACTGAATTTCAGACTGTGGGGTGACGGACTGCAGAATGGGCTTCAGTCGTCCCCTGTCACACACCAAGCAGTTATTCCCAGTGGATACAGATTTCGCTTTGTTCTTTGCAGTGACCCCAAGTCTTTCTGGTAGGCATAGCTTTCGTTTTTCATTATTCAACCTTAGCTCTGCTTTTGATAATTTTCAAGGTTTAGTATATGACCGAAAGTTTGGCTTTAGATGTGGATAATGTGAATTTCATGTGTCTTCAGATCTACTACAGGCATTACTTACCACGGTAATTTGCAAGTGGTAGGCACCCAATACACAGTTGTTGATTTTAATTAAATGACACTGAACAGTATTTGGTCATGTGTATATATAATATCACGGTTTGCCAAATCTGTTTAGTGTTCCATGTATATGTATATGTATATTTTAATGACTATAATAACATATAACAAAGTTTATATTGTGTTGGTGTACATCATCATAGAAATCATTTTCTAAAGGAGTGCATTCTAAGTTTTAGGGGAAAAATGCAATTTATTTTCAGATTCCCAAAATAAGAATTAATATACCATTCTAAGAAAATAGTGACTATTTTGAACTGTACTAATTTTTCTTCAAAAATCTAGAATGTGCGTTTCTGTTCCTAAAATATTAGGTTGCTCACCCAAATCACGTGGCATTATAATTCCTCTAACATTCTGTACTTTGTACTCGATCCCTTGTATTAAATCCCTTTAACAACATGCGGCTGTTATAAAAAGCTGTACTGTTTCACAGTGAGATAGTACATTATTAGCCTGGGATAAATGTCAAGGCTCTAACCACATCTGAGAAGAAAATCAGAAGCAATGCTGGGATAGTCCTTTAAGAGCCATTTCTGGCCTTTTCTTTCCAGAAATGAGCTTCTTTTTCTTAGCTTGGAAGAACGTGGTTATATCCAGGCCTTCGGATTCAGAAAAGTTACTTTAATTTTGACATAGATTACATCCCTATTGGAATAATTGGCCTTTTGCTCTTAAATAATTTATTAATATCTACCTTTATAAAATATAGTGCAACTACGTTTGTGTAAAAATGTTTGTCTTTAAATTTAGCATTTCGCATCAGCACGTCGATATATGTATAAATGTTCCATGTTCCTGTGTAAGAGGATCTGCAATAAATTATTTTTTCCACTTGTCTCTAGACAGTTTTTATTTCACCAAAAATGGTCTTATGTCATTATCGGGCATGCTATCAATGCCATTTTTACACATTCATTTTATACTTTTCCCTCTCCTGCCCTTTAATTTTGATCCACTGCCATTAAAAATTGAATGGCTCCTCTCAGATAGGCTTCCTTGCAAATGCTCTTTTTCTTTTTCTTTTTTTTTTTTTTGAATGTTTTTTATTAATTTCTAGGAGAGAGAGAGAGAGAGACAGCGTGAGCAGGGGAGGGCCAGAGAGAGAGGGAGTCACAGACTGAAACAGGCTCCAGGCTCTGAGCTGGCAGTCAGCACAGAGCCTGACGCGGGGCTCAAACCCACGAACCGCGAGATCATGACCTAAGCGAAAGTCGGACGCTTAACCGACTAAGCCACCCAGGTGCCCCCAAATGCTCTTTTTCTTTAGTACCAACTAAATGGCAGAAGCAAGACTAGACCTGGGGGGACAGATCCAGGGATCAGTAGGAAATGATGTCATTCCTTGAGGATCTCAGTCTTTCAGGAGGGAAAGACGCATAGACAAATAATTACGGTATGTGACATTTGTAGTGTTAAACCAACGTAAGGTACTGAGAGACTATGCAGAGCATGAGAAAGAAGGGCGTGAAGATCAGGCAGGAGGCAGCAGGAAGACCAGGCAGAGTTACATGAGGGTCTCACTTAAAGATGAATTAGTGCCACGGGAGGGCGGCCGTGGACCTCTTCCAGCAGCAGATGCTCAGCGTGTCCAGAACCCCTGTGCATTCACTTTGCTCTGCGCATCTTCCGAATTTCTATATTCCTTGACGTCTCTCTCTTGCACTGACCCTGATGACCCCTTCACATTTGTTTGTTTTCATCCTCTTTTTGTTCTTTCTGTTCAGTTATTTCACAAAGGTTTTTTGGGATTTTTGTTTTGTTTTGGTTTGGTTTCTTTTCTTTTTTCTTTTTCTTTTTTTTTTTTTTGGTAAGAGTTTTAAAACATGAAGACAAGGTTAAAGGACCCATTCAGGGCACAGCCATTCACTGAGCACGTGGACTCTACAGTTATTAAAAATTTACGAAATTTTTGGCAATTCCCTTTCTCTCATTTTCTAGCTTTTTGTGGTCTGTTGGAGTTTATTTCTTTTGTTGAGTGTTCACCCCCATACTATAAAATTCACTTTTTAGAAGTGTACAATTCAATAGTTTTGGTATATTCACAAAGTTGCACAACCAACGTATTCTGAAATATTTTCGTTACCTCCCTCCCAAAAATCTGTAACCATTAGAAATAATCCTAATAAACTGCTTCCCCCAGCTCCTGGCAACACTAATCTATTTCCTATCTGTAAGAATTTACCCATTCTGAGCATGCCGTATATGCAGAATCATACAACATGTTACGTTTCGTATCTGGCTTCTTTCACTTAGAAGAATGTTTTCAAGGTTTATCCATGTGTAACATAAATCAGTATTCCATTACTTGTTATGGTTGAATAATATTCTACTGTATGGATATACCACATTTGGTTTATCCCTTCATAAGTCAATGGACTTTTGAGTGGTTCCCACTTTTGGTTAATATGAATCACACTTATGATCATCTATCTGTACAAGCTTTTGTGTCTATATATGTTCTCAGTTCTCTGGTATTAAACGTAGGGGTTTAATTTCTAGGTCATCTGGCGCTCTAGGTTTAACTTTGTGACAAGCTGCTAAAGCGTTTTCCAAAGTGGCTGCACTGGTTTTATTTCCCACTGGCAGTGTATGAAAGTTGCAATTTCTCTACATCCTTGACAGCGCTTGCTATTGTCCATCTTTTTTATCCAAGCCATTCCAGTGGGCGTGAAGTGCCTTCGCATTGTGGCATTGTGGTTTTCATTTCTATTTCCCGAATGACTACTTCTATTGAATGTCTTTTCAAGTGCTGGTTACTCATTTGTTTATCTTCTTTTGAGAAATTCTAAAGAAGATAATTAAAATTATCTGCCCTTTGGGTGGGTGGGCGGTACCAGCCTACCCTTGAGGTCTCCTCTGGCTTCCGCCCTCTTGAAGGCGTGAGTAGAGGCTCTTCTCCAGAGCTGGAGAAGGAGCCACCCCATACTGTGGAGGATACAGGGGATCTGTGCCCCCTACCGGCTCCATCCCCGCACTCCAGCCCACTCTGGACTCCTTTTGGGCCCTGGCGCCGGGGGGGGGGGGGGGGGGGGGGGGGGGGGGGGGGGGGGGGGCCTCTAACAGCTCCAGAAAGGGCCCAGGCAGCTCTCTGTCACCAGGAACTGGAGACCCCATGAGGCCCCACAGAGGCCCAGGAGCGGTAGTGATGGTGTGGGAAGCAGAGCTGAACAACGCTGGGCTTTTGTGAGGTGTGACAATTTATCATGACTGTGTTCAGGCAGGAAAATACGGATAATTACTACATCACAAGGGGAGGAATTCGGCAGAGGCTGAAGTCAGAAGGCCTGTTAACATTTCGGAACCTCCGGGTATCATTATCTGTAATACAGGAATGATCATTTTCTCCTCATGGATTTTTTTTTCAGAGGGAATGGGTGGGAGGCTCTTGGCATTTTGTTTTCTGTCACCATTTTGTGGACATTTTTCCTATCCTGTGTTTATTCTGCATAATACAAGCTTGATCACATTATCAATAAGAGACATTTAGTTATTGAAAAATTGAAAAACACACAATTATTTGCCCCTTTGAAATTATTTGCTTTTTTAAAATGTTTCTTTTTTAATTAATTTATTTATTTATTTATTTTTTGAGAGAGAGCACAAGTAGGAGAGGGGCAGAGAGAGAGAGGAGAGAGAGAATTCCAAGCAGAAGCCATGCTGTCAGCACAGAGGCGAATGGGGCTGGATCTCACCAACCATTAAATCATGACCTCATGAAATCATGACCTCAATGGTGAGGCACTTAGGTGGCTCAGTGGGTTAAGCATCTGACTTTGGCTCAGGTCATGATCTCCAGCCCCGCATTGGGCAGGCTCTGTGCTGACAGCTCAGAGCCTGGAGGCTGCTTCCAATTCTGTGTCTCCCTCTCTCTGCCCCTCCCCTGCTCACACTCTCTCTTTCTCTCCAAAAATAAACATTTTTAAAAATAAATAAATATTTAAAAAACGAGAACAAAACAGGGAAAGTAGCTGAATAGTTGAAAGTGAAGGTAGTCATGGGGTAAAGAAAAAAGTATATGTATACTTATCCTTCCTATTTTAATTTATAATATACAGTTTTGAATAGAGCCTTTCTTTTAAACTTAAACACTCTGTACTACAACATAATAGAAATGGTGATAAGAGTAATGAAGGAAAATGAGTTCTATCTAAGAGATTATTAGAAAAATATTTAAAGAAAGAGAAATTGGACCTTTTTATAAGTTGCTAACATTAGCAAGTTCATGTTAAAATATTATAAAGATTATAAGGAACCTTACATTTCCACTTGACAATTCTTTTGCAAGTTTTGCATAAGAAGCAATTAAAAAGTACTAAGCAGCACCTATTATCTTTTGACAAAGACTATAAAGATCTAGTTCATCTTTCACTTACCACCCACATTCCATTTCTCCTCTTCATTGTATTCCTTCTTTCCCTGTCAACGGAGCCTATTTTTAACACTTGACAGGAGTATTAGCAAAGTACTAACTGAAAATGAATAATGCAAAAGATAACTACTAGCAGTTTTGCACACCTGTGGACACATGAGCAAATTTTACCTCACTTGTGCTCAATAAAATGCCTCTGAAACGTAGGAGTTCTTCAGACTTCAGTGGGAGAAAATGTGCCTCTCATATTGACCACATGCTCTTCTCTTTTGTGCTACAAAGTTGTTCCTGATTTATAATTTTTGGGGGGATTTTAAGCTCTTTATATATATAGTGCATTTCATTTATTAACATGTAAATCCCTTTTAAAGTTCTTTTAAAAGTTTTTTAAAACTGTAATAAAAGTTACAAAACTTTTTCAGCATACATTTCTTTCAATGCTGTACTGTACTCTAACAGATATTTGAAGTTGGCATGAGAAAGTTGAGCTAAGAGGTGATCAGAATCCCGACTGCCTCTCAAGTTCATAGTAAACCCTACACTACTAATGGCAATCGGGGAGCAATTCCACAGTCGCTTGGTACCCCATGTGCCCAATACAGTTTTGAACATTTTGCATGTGTTTAATCCTTACAGTAACCCATTGGTACATATTGTTAGTATCACCTTCATTTTATTTTATTTTATTTTATTTTATTTTATTTTATTTTTATTTTATTATTTTATTTTTTTTTATTTTCAAACTGTATCCAGCTTTATTAAAGATACTTTTCATAAACAAACATAGTATTTCAGGCAGGACATGGGGAGACAACCGTTAACAGTATACAACAACTTTTGGGCACCTGAGTAGCTCAGTCGATTAAACAGCTGATGTTTGATTTTGGCTCAGGTCATGATCTCATAGTGTCTTGAGTTCGAGCCCCACATGGGCTCTACGCTGACAATGTGGAGTCTGTTTGAGATTCTCCTTTCTCTGCAACTCCACCACTCATGTTCTCTCTGTCTCTCTCAAACTAAATAAACTTAAACACACACACACACACACACACACAACAGTACACAACAACTTTCAAATTCCCTTCTTCAATGGACTACCAAAATCAGAAAACCCCTATGTAACCCATTGAAGTCTTCATTTGATGTTCTGAATATCAAAGTGAAGATTGACATTTCACATGTAACATGTTGTTTAATAACTTTTCACAAGCGGGCCCTGACTTTCAAGAAATGAAACAAAAATGACAGAATTACCAATCTGAAGATCCACAAGCTAGAAAAGGAACTCTTTTGATGGATGCCATCTCTGTGGTGACACTGCGAAGTCTAGATTGCCTGACATGCTGGAGACCGCCTCCTGGGGTCAGGTTCCAACAGGTCTTTGGGTTTAAGGGAGTCAAGTCTATGGTGAAAGCAGAAAGGGGAAAAGAGACATAAAAATTTGAGGAAGAAAACTGGTAAACGCAA